CAGAGTTAGAGAATCACAGAATCAATCACAGAGTCACAGAATCAATCACAGAGTCACAGAATCAGAGAATCACAGAATCATCAGGGTTGGAAGAGACCTTCAGGATCTTCCAGCCCATGTCCAACACCTCCCTAACCCACGGCACCCAGTCCCAAACCAATCTTTGTTAAACCCCTCCAGGGACGGTGACTCCATCACTCCCAGGGCAGCCCATCCCAGTGCCATCCCAGCCCGGATCCCATGGAGCACAGGATCCCTTGGAAAGGCTCACCCTGGAACTGGGAAAGGGAACAGCCCTGGGAGTGTGCCAGCAGCACTTTGGGATGTGCCAGCAGCACTTTGGGATGTGCCAGCAGCACTTTGGGATGTGCCAGCAGCACTTTGGGATGTGCCAGCAGCGGGTGATCCACGGAAAAGCCAGAGAGGCTCCAAGGGGCAGCTCTGCCATCCTGTCCTGCCCCTGTGCTCACCCACAGCTCCTGCCCCTACAGCCCACCCCTCTGGCCCTCTGTCCAGCACACAATCCCATAATTCTGCCCTGTCTCTGCTGGGGGAATCTGGGATYTGGCAGCAGAGTGGGAATTCCTGCTCTGCCCGTGTGGGTTTAACACGGACAAACCGCTCCGTGGGAAACATCGCTGTCCGCACYCCAGCGCAGAGGTTATTTGGGATTGGGCATGGAAAAGATGGAAGCAGGCAGTAATTGCCTTTAAGATCAGAGCACAAAGCATTACCTTGGGTTTTACAAGGCCAGCGAGCAACAAAAGAGCCGTAATTTATGAGCTCAGCGTAAAAGAAGAGCATAATTGCATTAAAAATTAATGCTAATGAACACTGAAATGGGGAAGGTGGTTATGATGAAAGTTTGGATTCATCTTCCCCGGCTTGAATGATGGCTGGGGCCTTGATTAATGGCTTAATTTCTATCAATTAGCGGGGAGAAATCTCCACTGAGACAAGGGTAAATTGAGCATTGAATTACAGCCCTGGCTTTGTGTGCCCGCGAAGGAGCGCGGCGGCTCCGGTGTCGGAACGGGGGGTGGCCTCAAATCCAGCACAATTCCCTGGGACRGGGCTGTCCCCACCCCTCCACTGCCTGAGGGGGGCTCTTGCCCAGGATGTTTTCAAAAATACCCCAAAAAGCCCCAAAATTGGGATGCAGGAGCGAGAGGGGTGTGAGGAGGGCAGCGGTGAAGGCGACCTGCACACAGGATATGAAAAACTCCAGCAGCAATTTAACCTTCGTAAAGTTCCTACATTTAAAGTTCTTAAATTTAAAGTTCTTAAATTTAAAGTTCTTAAATTTAAAGTTGAAGGTTCTTGAATTCAGTGTGCTAAATTTAAAGGTTCTTGAATGAAAGTTCCTAAATTCAGAGCTCACTTGCTGAACTTGCCCCTCCTGTTTCCTGCTGTGTTTTATACCTGATGCTCCCAGGTTTTTAAAGGAAAAGCTATTGGTGWCCAGACTTGTTAAAAATCCTATAAAAATGAGTTTATTATCAGTGTGAGGTACTAAAATAGCAAACTTGGTGCTCTCTGTAGTGCTCTCCCTAGTGAGCACCACAGTACTCACAAAATGCTATTTTAATGCATTTTAATAACCTCACTTTCACTGGATTTTAAAACCTGGACAAAGTTTTTCCTGGCAATTTGGATTTTTCCAGATTAATTGTAAATCCTGTGCACTCCCTGTAGCAGGAATACTCACACCTTACTATTTTATTATATTTAATTGCATTTTCTAGTGCTTGCAGTGGGGTTGGGAGCACCCAAAGGTGCAGCAGAGCCCCCTGTGCCCACAGCTGCCCCTCTCAGAGGGATTTGTTGTTCCTGGAGCTCCTGCTGGGAAAAGTTCCTGCCCTGGGAATACCAGGGCTGGGAAAGAGTGTGGCCAAGTGTTGGAGAGGAACTTTGCTGGAGCTCAGGGAACGGGAATGGGAATTGTGATCCTGGAGCTGTGAGGGGTGAGGGGCTGGAAGTTGATCCCGAAATGGGGGATGTGTGGCATGGCTCCTCAGGGATGCTGTGGGATGGTTTGGGATGTTCTGGGATATTCTGGGATGCTCTGGGATGTTTTGGGATGCGCTGAGATGCTCTGGGATGCTCTGGGCTGTGCTCCTGCAGGGATGCTCCAGGATGCCTGGGATGCTCTGGAATGCCTGGGATCTGCTCCTGCAGGGATGCTCTGGGATGTTCTAGGATGCGCTTTTGCAGGATGCTCTGGGATGCCTGAAATGCCTGGGATCTGTTCCTGCAGGGATGCTCCGGGATGCTGTGGGATGTTCCTGTAGGGTTGCCTGGGATGTTTTCCTGCAGGATGCCCGGGATGTTTTCCTGCAGGGATGCTCTGGGATGTTCCTGCAGGATGCTCTGGGATGCCCGGAATGCCCGGGATCTGTTCCTGTAGGGATGCTCTGGGATGTTTTCCCGCAGGGTGCTTCGGGATGCTCCAGGATGCTCTGGGATGTTCCCGCAGGATGCTCTGGGATGTTCCTGCAGGATGCTCTGGGATGTTCCTGCAGGATGCTCTGGGATGTTCCTGCAGGATGCTCTGGAATGTTCCTGCAGGATGCTCCAGGATGTTTTCCTGCAGGATGCTGTGGGATGTTCCTGCAGGATGCTCTGGGATGTTCCCGCAGGATGCTCTGGGATGTTCCCGCAGGATTCTCTGGGATGTTCCTGCAGGGATGCTCCGGGATGCTCTGGGATGCCCGGAATGCCCGGGATCTGTTCCTGCAGGATGCTCTGGGATGTTCCTGCAGGATGCTCTGGGATGCTCGGGGATGCTCTGGGATGTTTTCCTGCAGGATGCTCCGGGTTGCTCTGGGATGTTTTCCTGCAGGATGCTCCGCCGGCAGCAGCGGAGCTGTTGAGTGAGGCGGTGCCTCCCTCTAACGGCAGCCGGAGCCGGGGAGCGCCATCAGCCGCGGGATATCCCGGCATTTATCCCGGCATTTATCCCAGGATTTATCCCAGGATTTATCCCAGGATCTACCCCAGGATTGCCCTCTCCAGGTGCAGGAGCAGGAGGGCTCGGAGTGCCAGGACTGTTGCATTCAGATCTTGCAGGAACGGGAATTTCTGGGCTGATCCCTCCGGATTTTGCTCCGGGAGCGACTCCCRGGGCTCCGGGAGCTTTTCCAGGCGGATCCTTGGAATTGCAGCGCTCGGGCTGGGCAGGATGTCAGGGATTCCACGGGCTCAGGATCGGGACAGCCGAGCCTCTCCTGCCCTGGGAAGGGATTGGAGGCAGAATTCCCTAAAAACCAGAGCCCTGCATTTGGGAGATGGGACAGTGAATCCCTAAAAACCAGAGCCCCGCGTTTGGGAGATGGGACAGTGAATCCCTAAAAACCAGAGCCCTGCATTTGGGAGATGGGACAGTGAATCCCTAAAAACCAGAGCCCTGCATTTGGGGCAGCCCAGAGCCAGCACAGTGAATCCCACCCTGATTGTTCCTCCTTTTCCCAGTTTCTCTTCTGTGCAGTGCAGAACCCAGGATTTCCCCCAGCCTGGGAGGTTTTTGTCTCTTCCACTGGGAATTGTCTGGGGAAAACTTAATTTCTTTTTAATTTGTCCGTTTGGGCAGCTTAAGTAAAACTGGGATCAATTAAAAATCCTGGGATGTGTGAAAGCCCAGTTCTGTTGGAAAACACACATTTCTAAAGGCAGCTGGATAAAAATATCACTTCCAATAACCCGAAATAAAATGGGATCAAAGGGGAAGCGTTTTCTGCTGGAGCTGTTTGTTTAGGCTGGGATCTGGGGGTGTTTCCTTCTTTTAATCCTCAACTCAAAAGAGCAGGGAAAAATAGCAACTTTTTCTCTGTATTTCAAAGCWTTTTATGTAAAACGTGTTCGACTTTAAAATTAAAAGAACCCCCTGAAATCTAATTAGTAAAATAGGAAGGAACAGATTCTGAGGAATTTCTGAGGTTTATTGTCATTGCTTTGATTCTGGAGTTAGACCTGCTGGAAAAAATCTCTTTAAGTTCATGTTCATGGTCAGGATTATGGATAAGCAACAAATCCATACAAAATTTACACCCCAAGATTATCCAAGAAATATTTAAAATATGTTTTTATTTAATGGGTTTTATTGGTCATTTAATGCTTCTGTTTCATTGATTTGAAAACTCCGAGTGGGATAAATTTTGTCTTTAAACATAAGAAAAGAAATGGGAATATTTTAGGCTGAGCTCACGGGGAAGTTACTTTTTCTTTTGTGATTTGTAGTATTACAGAGTTTTCTATTTCTATTTCTTTTATCTGATTTGTAGAGTCATATAATTCTGTTTCTTTTCCTTTTGTCTTATTTGTGGAATCAGAATTCTCTGTTTCTTTTCCTTTTCAGATTTGTAGAATCACAGAATTCTGACTCTTTTACTTTTATCTGATTTTCTGCTCTTTCTCACCATTGTGTGTGTGTTTTTTTRGGGTGGCATCACAAGAATTCCTGCAGATTTTGGTGTTCAAATGACATTTGCAGTTATTGTTGATCCAGCCAGGGATGAGGCATCCTTGGGGAATTCYATCCCAGCCCCTCCCAGGGAACMATTCCTGCCCCAAAATCCCATCCATCCCATCCYTCKGGCAGTGTGACCCCATTCCCTGTGTCCTGTCCCTCCATCCCTTGTCCCCAATCCCTCTCCTGGAGCCCCAAAAGGGGMTCTGAGCTCTCCCTGGAGTTTCCCTTCCCCATTTATCCCACAAATCCCTCACTCAGCATTGGGAATGTTCCCAGCAATGGCTTCACCGGTGCTTTCACTCAAAATTTTCCCTTTAACAGAGAGGATTTGGGGCTGCATTGCACCAGCAGCTTTTCCTTTTCCTGATGTGTCCCAAAATCTGCTCCAGGCATGGCTGGGACAGGTCTGGATCCCAGGATTTCACTGATTCCTGATTTTCCAGGATCTCACTGATCCCTGATTTCCCAGATTTCACTGATTCCTGATTTTCCAGGATCCCACTGATTCCTGATTTCCCATCCCACATTCCAGACCAATCCTCCCTCCTGGACCAGGTGAAACGAGTGAAGGAAATCGAAGCCATCGAGAGCGACGCCTTCGTCCCACAGAGCTTCCGTTCCAGCAAGGAGGTCAAAAAGGTAAATTCCCTTCCAAAAAGGGACATTTCCCTTCCAAAAAGGTACATTTTCCTTCCAAAAAGGATATTTCCCTTCCGAAAATGGACATTTTCCTTCCAAAAGGTACATTTCACTTCCAAAAAGGGACATTTTCCTTCGAAAAGGTACATTGCACTTCCAAAAAGGGACATTTTCCTTCTGAAAGCTACATTTTCCTTCCAAAAAGCTATATTTCTCTTCCAAAAGGTGCATTTTCCTTCCAAAAGGGTATATTTCCTTTCCAGAAAGGATATTTTCCTTCCAAAAAGGATATTTTCTCTTCCAAAAAGGGACATTTTCCTTCAAATGGGACATTTTCCTTCCAGAAAAGTACATTTCCCTTCCAGAAAGGTACATTTCCCTTCCAAAAATGGACATTTCCCTTCCAAAAATGGACATTTTCCCTTCCAAAAATGGACATTTTCCTTCCAAAAGGATACATTTTTCTCCTAAAAATGTACATTTTCCTTCCCAAAAGGTACATTCAGACAGGAATGTCCATCCTGGCTCACCTGGATACCCAGGGATGTTCTGTCCAGGCAGGGCAGCAGAGCCAGGGACGTTTCCTGGGTTTTTTTTGAGATAATTCCTCAGCTGGAGAACACCTGGCAGCCCATAAAACACCATTTTATACCTTCCAATCCCAATTCCTTACCTTTCCAGCTAAGTTCTGGGTTTTTGCATTGCCCCATTTGTGAATTTTGGGRTAAAACACTCTGATTTTGGTGTGTTTTTCACTTTTCCAGGTGGCAGAAGCTCCTGAGCCGCAGCACGAGCCCGTCAGCGGGGCGGCCACAGAGGTGGCACCTCCTGAGAAGGAATCCCCAGCTGCCAACATCCCCACGGCCATCAAATACCAGGATGACAATTCCTTGGCACATCCCAACGTGAGTGAGGGGATTTGATCCCATCCTGAGCTTTGGGACGGGCCCTGGGGTGGGAATGGGGTTGTGCTGCTCCTCCTAAAATCCCCGTTCTGGAGAGTGAGGGGATCCCGCTCCTCCCACAGCCAGCAGGGAGTTCACACAGATTAAATTAGAGCAAAATCAAATTAATGTATCACAGGGGAATCAAAATCCCTTTCAATAAAAATTCAGGGCAAATTGGTTTTGGTTTCTGTAGTTGGCAGCCCGGTGGAAAAATCTGAACTTGCCCGTTTTGCCAACTTGAGAAGTTTTAAACACAGCACAGAATGGAGATTATTTTAAATTGTTGTGGTTAAACTTCAGCAAATTCCTTTGGAAGAGCTTTAGGGGAAAGGAAAGGACTTGCATGGAGTTTTTTAGGAATTAGGAAGTTAAAAGGAGTAAAGGACTGAGTGTGAGTTGTGCACATGGACACAGAGAGCAGAGATCCCAATGTGCAGGGATGAACTTGCTCTGGAGTCCTGACTTCCCAATGATTATCATCTTCAAACCCCTCCCAAGCCCAACTGCTTTAGGATTCCATGAAAAATCTCTGCTTTTAATGATATTTTTAGATGCCCTTTACCTTTTAACCCCCTGAGCTTTTCCTTTGGGTCCTGAAAGGGGCGTGGGGCRTTTCAAGAGACGATCACAGACATGGGATTGCTGAGCTGTGCCAACTCCTGTCCCTTCTCCCTGTGCCAACCCTTGTCCCTTCTCCCTGTGCCCAGCTGTTCATCGAGAAGGCTGAAGCAGAGCAGAAGTGGTTCCAGAGGTTGGTTGCTCTCCGCCAGGAAAGGCTGATGGGCAGCCCCGTGGCCTGACAGCTTCCAGGACCATCCCAGACCACTTCCCACCTGGAGTTCTCACCTTCCATCGTTCCCTTTGTCTCTTGGAGGAGATTTTGATGAGCTGTGGACGCAGGGAGGGTTTCAGCTGGAAAAACAGGGGTGTTCTGTGCTACTCACCTGGGTACCAGGGATGTTCTGTCCAGGCAGGGCAGCAGAGCCAGGGGTGTTTCCTGGTTTTTTTTTTTTTGGAGGGAACTCCTCTGCTGGAGAACACCTTGCAGCCCATAAAACACCATTTTATACCTTCTAACCCCAAATATTTTACAGAAGTGGGTGGGAGGTGGGAGATAGTGGAGGAGGGAGGCTCCAGGGAGGATCCAGGGCCCCTCGGTGTCCTGCCCTGGGGGATCCAGGGAGTGGGGAGCACTGCTGTCCCTTCTGTCCCTTTTATCCCATTTTCCTCCCTTCCCTGCAATTCTGTTTGGTGTGGGCTGAGGTATCTCCTCCCTCCGTGGATGTTTTCATCCATCTGCTCCCAGCTCCTCACTCGGGGTGGAAAACTCAGCCTTGAACATTTGCCACTGCTGCAGCTCCAAATGGGGAATTTTACCCAGCTCATCCTGCCCAGAATGATGGAATTCTGTCATTATTGACACCCTGGAGCTGGCCAGGGATTGCTCTGAGCCCAGGCACGTGGGACTTCCAGCAATGAAAGATTAATCTGAACATCTGAATTTAGCCTGGATAAACCTCGTCAAAAATCTGCCTCTCATCCAGCTAAGTGCAGGAATTCAAATCAAATCAAATCAAATCAAATCAAATCCAGAGGTATTTCTTCAGCAGAGCTGGGAGAAAACTGTTCCCTCAGGAGAGGAGAGAAGTGAGCCCCAGCTCTGGATGGACTCCCTGCACCAGCTTTCCCTTGGGAAGCTGCTTTTTGGGATTATTTCTCCTGGTTCTCAGACCTGTGGTGATAAAAAATGGAGGCTGACTCTGGAAATGGACTTTGCTTGTCTGATTTTTTTTATTTTAGATCCTAAATGTCAAAGGAAAAAAATGTCTGAAACTTGCATTCTGATACATTTTTACTCCTTTATGAAGTGTTTGTTTGATTTGGTCGTGCATTAAAATATTCCAAGGCCTTGCCTGTGGGAAGAAGAGGGAAAAAATTAGTTTTCCTTGTTTCATTTAAGTATTTTCACTTGATAAATATTTGTCATTGCTGTGTTTTTTAAATGCCTTGTATGTTTCTTTCGTAGAAAATAAAAACTGTTGGATGTCCATGGAAGGTCCAGGTGTAAATTCCTGTTTTCCACCTTTTCTTAGATAATTTTGGTGCTTTTATTGGATGGATGATTCCTTTTACTTGCAGCCCTGTAGGRTAACAGAAAATGTTACAAACTGGTCTGTAAATAGGCTTCAAGTTAAAGTAGGGTTTGTTTATTTATTATTTATTGCTTATTAATCAACATCTGGATRTGCTGGAGAAAAGCTGGGAGCAGGAGCTGGAAAGAAAATGGAAACAGCATTTAGATAATCCCAGCTGAGTGRAAATGGGCACTGGGATATTCCCAGCCCCACTGGAAACAGGAGGAAATTGGGATTATTGTCATCATCATCATTGTTATTATGGTTATTATTGGGTTTTGGGTTATTGTAGTTATTATTTGGGTTATTGTGGTAATTATTTGGGCTATTCTGGTTATTATTTGGGTTATTATTGTTATTATTTGGATTATTGTGGTTATTACTTAGGTTGTTTTGGTTATTATTTGGGTTATTGTGGTTATTATTTGGGTTATTATGATTATTATTTGGATTATTCTGGTTATTGTTGGGTTTTGGATTATTATGGTTATTATTTGGGTTATTGTGGTTATTATTTGGGTTGTTGTGGTTATTTTTGGGTTCCAGATTTCGGGAAGGTTTCTGCTGCTGCCGAAGCCAACCCTTGGGGTCAGGAGCTGCAGCACCCCATGGCCCTGTCCCCTCAATACCCCAAAGCCAGCCCTGTTTGGGGACAGTTTGCCATTGTCAGGTGCCAACAGGGAGCTGTTTTCAGTGGGATTCTTGAACTGCAGCAGCCTCTGAGCAGGGATCACCCGGATCCCAGCGTTTAACCCACACCTGGGGTGGCTCCTGGGCTTGGGAGGGATAAAAAACCCTACAAATATCATTAACCAGGGTTGAAATATTCACCACTTGAGATCCAGGAGAGCTGGAGAGGGACTGGGGACAGGGGATGGAGGGACAGGACACAGGGAATGGGGTCACACTGCCMGAGGGCAGGGATGGATGGGATTTTGGGAATTAGGAATTGTTCCTTGTAGGGTGGGGAGGGTTTGGGATGAAATTCCCAGAGCAGCTGTGGCTGCCCCTGGATCCCTTTGAGTGCCCAAGGCCAGGCTGGACATTGGGGCTGGGAGCAGCCTGGGACAGTGGGAGGTGTCCCTGCCATGGCAGGGGTGGCACTGGATGGGATTTAAGCTCCTTCCATCCCAAACCATTCCAGGATTCTCTGATTTTGTACCTCTGAATTTAATTCGATTTTGTTATAAATTCTTGTCATCTCATTTCAGGCCTTGTTGAAATCACTGAGCTGGGCAGCTGGGAGCTGAGGAGACATTTCAATCAAATATTGATGTCCATATTCTCCCTGCAGCCCTTGCTTTTATCCCACATTTACAGAAGCTGATGTCACTCGTGGGCTGCAATCAGCTCCAGAAAAAMMAMMAAAAAAAACCCTTCAGCCTCTGGGAAGAGCAGAGCAGCTCTGAGCCCACCTGGGAAGGAGTGAGGATTTCTGCCAATGCCTGGGAAATGGAAATAGGAACTGCTGATCCCTCCAGAAGTGCTGGGGACAGAGCCCAGACTGTCTGAGCCCTCTCAGGTTTCCTTCAACCTTGCTCCTGACATTGCTGCAAGGGAGCAGGGGCCCCAAAGTGCTCCCATTTTTCCCTCAAATATTTGGAAAAACCCCTCTTTTTAATAACTCTGCTGTCTCTCACTAGGTGGGCAAACAGAGCTCARTGTTTGGAAGTTTGGGGCTGCAAGAAAAGGAATTTAAAAGTGACTGTGTAACAAAAGCTGGGGTTTGTTGTGAAGGGAGCAGTGAAACTTGGCCTTGCTGATTAGAAATGGCAATTAATGCTTTGAGATGGGGCAGGGCCTGAGCTGGGACACCCCAAGGTGTGGGAACTCGTGTGTGGAGTTAATCCAGGACTGATGGGAATGTGGAATTAACGGGATTTTCCTGAGGTGGGGGAGCCCTTCCAGAGCAGCTGAACAAACCCTCSGGGCTGGATGGGCTCAAATGGGGATGGAAGGAGCCTCTCCTTTCCTCTCACAGGAAAATCAGGTTGGATCCCTGTGGAAAAGGGATCCTGGGAGCTCCAGCAGTTCCTGCTGCCCACATGGGAGTTTTTATCCTTTCTGTATTTTTGTCTGATTTTCCAGCTTGAGGCCGTGGCCAGACCTGGGCTCAGTTTTGATGACCTTCACCAYGAACCTCAGAYRGATTTTCYCTGGGAAAAGCMTCCCAAAWGGCACCCAAAAGTGCAGGATCTCTRCTCCTGGATGTCCCCAAGCTTCACCCATCAATAGTTCCTGCCCACGATGGCAGCAGAGCCCATCTGAACAAATCTTGGTTTGGATCAGATCCTGGAATCGATGATGGAGCTCCCACTGCAGCCAGCTCTTGCTTGTGTTTGTTTTTAAGAATATTTTTCTCAGCTCAACAAAAACAGGAGGAGAAGAGGAAGGTCACAAAATTTGGGCTGATGAGCAGAAATGCTGGGTCACAGGAGGGGAAACTGAGCCCAGGAATTCCTGAAAGCCCAAAGCTCAGGAACTCCCCAATGGATTATTGTTTTGTTCAATTACTTCAAAAGCAACATCCCAGTAATTTTAAAAATAATCAAAAGCTGATCCTGAACGTCTCAGGAATGATTATGGAATGGCAGTGATGTGCCAGTGTTTCACACCCAGCTCTTGGGGACATTCCTTACCAAAAATCCTAAAGAAGACACCATGGGGACATCTCAGATAATGCAGTGAGGCAACTCCAACATTTATTGGTATTTTGCACTCAGATTGATGTTTGATATTGGTATTTGTCACCAATTCTCAGCTTCCTCACAGAGACACCACAAAAATCTGATTTTCCTGCTTTGCTGGGCCATTATGGGCACGGAAATGTGGGAGCACCCTGGCACAGCCCAGGATCTCTCCTGCCCTCCCAGGGGATTTGCTGCCCTGCCAGCATTATTTATTAACTCATCCATAATTGATAATCTCTAATTTGTGTGGGCTGGAGGAAGCTTGGGCTGCAGGGAGTTATAAAAGGCAGGACTTGGTGACAGCTCTATTTATAGCTCGGCCCCAAAATGTGTCTGTTCCCCTTTTTTGGTGCTGCAAGTTCAGGGTCAGCGGTTCCTGCAGCCTCCAAGTGACTCCTTTTATCAGCTGCAGAGGCACCAGAGCAGTTTTTAGGGATAATTCCTGATTATACACAAAGTGAGCTGCAGAGTGCCCGTGGGGAGGTTTTTAAACACAAATTGTTGGGTGGGAAATGGAAAGTTTTGCAATAACAGTAAAAAAAGTGAATTTCTTCCTATAGAAAGCAGGAATTGTCTTCTCCTGGTTTGCATCTTATATAAAATATGGTTCAGTTAAGGTTTATTCAGTTAAGGCTGAGAAGGAGGTCCTGAAGAGGGATTTTATATTTCATCAGAGACAGAACAAAACCACCTCTGGTCAACACTGCCAGCTTGGCTCTGATTGCTCCATTTTCATCATTAGGGTCATTAATTACCCACCTTTTAAACCACCCGTGTCAGACCCAGCATCTTCAGAGGAGRCTCACAGGATTCAGATCAAATTTCAACAGAAAAAGCTGATAATGAGCTGAGGAGCATTAATTCTTCCTTTTCTCTCAGTTTCTTCTTTGTGTGTGCAAACCAGGTATTTCCTTTGAAATTTCCTTTCTAATTTGCATCTGTATTTATGTTTAAAACAAGGGAACCTCGACACTTGGTTCTGATAAGGAATTAATTTAAATCTGGCCAGCAGCATTGTGTCCAGCYTTAGGAAGGGTCTGGCTCTGGTTGTCCCAGCCCATCTGGGCACTTTTCCCAGTTAAACACGTGCAGGAATGCAATTTTCACCTGCAAGTGTTAAAAGCATCCCTGCTGCTGCAAAACAATCCTTGTGGAGGAATTGGTGTGGATGATTCCCCAGGCAGAAA